ATGTTTCAGTTATTATTTAAATTTCAATTTTTTTCAAATTTTCATCGGCACTCTGCCTCTGACCACTGTCAGATAATGTTTCAGTTATTATTTAATTTTCAATTTTTTTTTTTCGGTACTTTGCCTCTGACCTTTGTCAGAACTTGTTCTACATTTTTTTTTTTTTTTTTTTTTAAAAGCTCTTTGCTTTTATCTGATCACAACTTCTCATACTCTTAAATGCAATTACTCTTAAAGTTTCCTCTCTTATTATAATTTTTTTTCTGGACATACCGTTTACTCGCACTCGAACGCATGACAACGACGAACGAGATGAATGAAAGAGAGATAGAAAAAAAAACTAACGGGTTCCTGCGAGATAAATTTGTTCACTTTTAACAAATACGCCTTTTTGTATTGCTTAGTTTTATGGTTAATAGTTTACTCTAACGATTTTAGCTTCGTTTTCCATAGATTTCACCTCGTCGCCAATGTAACAACTCAATAAATCACTTTAGATTGTCTTTTATAAATGTTCTTTATTTTCACTCTCCTTCCGCGGCGAGTGCCAAAATCAAACTAAACGAATTGTGTTGAGAACAGTGATCCAAGGTCTAGGAAGAGAGAGAGAGCCTCGCTCTCCTACAACCGTCATCGCTGGCTTAGCTCCTTGGTGCCGGTTCCCACATTTTCTAAAACTTCTGTCAAACTTGTGTCTTCGTACCTACAAAATCGTCGTCAATCTGTTGTACTGTCTAACGTTTCGTCCTCATATGAAAATGTTAATCGTGGTGTACCCCAAGGGTCTGTGCTTGGTCCCTTATTGTTTACCTTATATGTTAATGACCTTCCCAATGCGTTATCTGAATGTAATGTACACTTGTATGCTGATGATGTCCAAATGTATGTGAGTCGTCCTTTAAACAGAATAAATGAATGTATAGATGTTTGTAACAGAGAACTTGAACGTGTAAATGAGTGGGCCGGCAACAATGGACTTGGGATCAACCCATCAAAATCAAAATGTCTTGTCATAAGTAAAATAAAGATCATTTTTAACAATTTGCAGCCACTGAGTATGAATAGCACGCTACTTGAGTACGTTAATACAGCTGTAAACTTAGGTTTTATATTCAACAGAACTCTTACCTGGAATGATCATATTAAAAAGTCTGTAGGGAAAACATATGGCATAATAAGGACATTATCCGTAACTAAATATTGCCCATATACGTTTACTAATAGCTAAAACCTGCATTGTTCCAGCGCTATTTTATGGAGTAGAAGTTTTTTCAAACTGTGACACTACCAGTAAGAACAAAATTAAAGTTCTATTTAATTGCATAGCCAGGTATATATTCAACCAACCACATACAGATCGATATCTCGCTAAATGAATGGATAAAGATGCGGAACTTAATTTTTCTGCAAAAAATTATTTTCCAAAAAGAACCTTCGTATCTTTTCGAAAAACTTCAATTTATATCCTCAGAAGAGCAAACAATCTTACTTGCATAAGACCTAGATCATTGACATCCGAAAGACAATTTTTAATTAATGCTATTCGATCATGGAATCAGCTCCCAAACCATCTTAAAAATATTAGCAGTGCCACGCAGTTCAAGATAAAATTATTCACACACCTTAAAAACACTATTACGTAAATTAAAGTAAAAATAGAAGGCGACTTAGGTTAGTTTTTATGAAAATTAGTTTTAAGTATAATGTAACAATTAAATATTTGCAAACTCGTAGTGACTAGCGCATTAACTTATAAGTTCCAAACTTGTAGCGTTAGGATGAAATTTTATAATAAATACAAATACATTTTTCCGTTTTTGGTTTGTAAGCGCGTATCAAAGCGATGTTTTAAGGTCGTGAAACCAATTTTACTGTGTTAAGTAGCTGGAGCTGAAAAACTTTGGTTCTACTACGTTTTGGAAGGCCCACTAGTTTATCGGGAAAACGGATAAAAAAAGCAAGATTTCACAAGTTCACAATTTCCAAACGACTAACGCTACTTAGCATTTTATGCCTATTTGAATGAGCACAAATCTATGAAAGTCCAATTCGATTGTGAAAAATTATCATTGGAATTAAAAGTGATATCATATTATTATTTAACCGTTTACCATCTACCGGATACGACGGTGCGTATAAACTTGCAGTCCCAAATTTTCCCAAAAAATTCGACCGACGATAACTGTCGTTTGATATTATTATTATTATTAATTATTAATAATTTTATAATTAAAAATGGCTATAAGCAATCCAAGTGTAAATAAATTCTAATAGCCAAATACGATTGGCGCATTTAGCATATGGTTCTCCGACATAGCTGAAATGGGTTTGTATACTTATGAGTTTTCGCGAGTCGAAACTAAATGAATTAAAAAGAGTTAATGTAAGTGAGTTTACGGAACTCCATAATGCTATCGAGGCATTTTCCAATTGGTCGAAAAAGACGGGAAGCTGATGGTGTTGTTTGAGGGAGTTTGCTAAGGAAGCCACCTCAGTTTCTAAGAAAGAGCAAAGACCCCCGTAAATGTGAAGGACTTTTCCTGTTGTAGTGTTGGAGTGGTGGCATATACGTTAAATATCAATATATTCCGATAGTTTTCTAAAAACTTCGGGGCAAATTATTACATATCGCTATTATACATCGCAATTATTTTAGATGAGGCATTTACCCTTATGGGAGTACCTGTGTAAATAAATGCGCATAAGTCTAAATGAGTTTTAATGCGCTCATGGAATCAGGCAATTTAACAATTTTTTGATGCCTTTGCCTTTGAATTTAATTTAATAACAACCCAGTCCCACAGAGCCAATCCAAGCGAAACGGTCGGGGTGTTTGATGGATGGTGGACCGGTGTTTCTACAGAGCCACCATCCATTCATCAAAAGTCACAGGGGCGAATGCGGCAAAAATTTAGAGTTGCACCAAAAAAACATCAGCTAAATATCGGCTAGAAACGTGAGGTTAGGAAAGTGAATTCCACCGTCAAGGAATAAAAGTGAAATTTTTGGCGTAGCAAAACCCTATGCCCTCTTTCCACACAGTCCATCTGTTGCAAACGTTTGGAAATTTCAACATATGTGAAACTCCGATTTCCACAGGATATATCCACCATCCGATTCTAGCTGATCTGAACAGCTGTGGCTCGTCAAAACGTAAACAAAAACAACAGGTTAACCATCTTTGTTTATGTTTTCATGAGCCACGGCTGTTCAGATCAGCTGAAATCGGAAGGTGGATGTGGTCTGTGGAAACCGGAATTTTTATATTTTCAAATTCCCAACGGTTTGTCAGGGATGGACTGCGTGGAAAGAGGGCTGCACCGCTGAAACATCGGCTAAATATCACATAAATTAGTCCGTCAAAGTTCGTCAAATTATAGCAGCGGACTAACTGGGAAATTTTCGGAACGGCAAAACCCTATGGACCATCCCTTCAACGGATGGTGGAAAGTGGAAAGATCTCTGTGGAAATACGCTATTATGGACCATCTTTAAAAAATTTATTGTATGATGAATCGTGTGGGTCTAGGACATAAACACATGCCAATAAGAGCTTCGGTGACCAATGCACTCTTTCCACATAGTCCATCTATTGGAAACGTTGGTAGTTTTTGACATATGTGAAATTTCGATTTCTTACAACAGCTGATCTGAACAGTTGCGGCTCTAAAAAACATAAACAAAGTCAAACCGTCAACCATCTTTGTTTATGTATTGATGGGCCACGTCTGCACAGCAGTGCTGCCAGATTTTGAGAGATAAAATAAGCTAGATTGAAGAAAAAAATAAGCTAGAATAAGCTAAAAATTAAAAAAATTAAGCTAAAAATAAGCTAACCATGGAAAACATTAAAATAGTTGATTTTTTACTTTTATTGATATTATATTTATATAGCTATTAGAGTAAAGAAATAATTTCATCGACTTCATCATTCGATTCCATATATTTAGCGGATGAGCTGACTAAAGCGAGGTATTTCGTTGGAAGTATGTAGTCATGGCAACATTTGCCATGACGTCGCAGTCCATATCTATAACATAAAAAAAAAATACTTAGTATATTTTAAATAATTTAAAATTTCAAAAACAAACCTTATTCTTAAAATTGCGTTCAAGCTTTTTAAATTCATTTTGTTGCGCAACTTTGTTTTGACTATGTTCATTTGGCTGAATACCCTCTCAACCGCAGCATTCGACCATGGCAGTGAAAGAATGTGCAAAGCAAATACGCCAGTTGCCCGAAAACTTTGTTTTGGCCAGCATCCTTATACATCAAAACTTCTGACCAAAACTCTATAGTTATTTCCTTTTTTTCCCAATTAATAAGGTGGATTTTTCCAAATTAAGATACTATTTCATAAATATTTTCATATTTGAAATGTTCCAACAACGAAATAATTTTATCTGGCGTTATATTTGCTTGTAGCATATTGCCAACGGCGAAAATATCCATTTGTTTTAGTACTTCAATGTCCAAATTATCGATAAAAATTACCAAAAATTATAATACAATCGAAAAAAAAAAAAATTTTTGTTATAAATTTATTTAAGCCGAAATAAGCTAAATGAAATTTGAAATAAGCCAGATTTTAAGCTATATGTATTTCAAGTATTTTTCAAGCTATTTCATTTTAAAATATGCTAAATCTAGCTTGAAATAAGCTAAAATGGCAACAATGCTGCACAGATCCGCTGTTATCGGAAGGTGGATGTTGCATGTGCTCTGTGGAAATTGGAGTCTCACACCAATCCAAATCCGGGTTTTCAGGGAGTGCGTGAGAAGAGAGTTGCCTTTAGCGGCGATCAGGGAACAATAAAATTAGGAACGCGGTGTTTTTTTAATTTTTTCATTATTTATGAACGTAATTTAAAATTTGTGAATGCGAAAATATTAACGATATAAATGTAATTTGAGAATATTAAAACACTGCAAGTATCTAAAATATGTAATGGAAAACTCCATAATTTCGCCAATTAACAGAGGTTTTGCCAATAAGCACGTTAAGCGTTAAAAAGTTTAATCAAGAGGAATCCGACAGTTTGTGAGAAAATCCCCTAACAGTGAATGAACGTCTCATTTTTCCCATACAAGTTGTGGCGATATGCATGGTACATAGGCAGATTGAAGATCATCTAAAAAACGTGAAAATCCGAAGGTAATGATACCGTCAGCTTTCGAGAAACCACTGGGTACCAACCACAAATCACAATGTGAAATGCCATCCAGGGCATTAACATTTTCCACGTTAACTTTTATTTTAAATAATAGAGGTTGTGCCAACATACACGCATTCTCGTTGATGAGGGCAATTAAAAAAAAATATATATATTTATTACAGGCAGTTCACACCCTTCAGTTTCTCGAAAATCAAGTGTGTTCACGCGGTCACACCGGCCTGTGAACGAGAATCGGAAAGGTTTTGAATTGCGTATAAAAAATTGTACATTTAATTTTCAAAAATTGTAATTTTTGAATAAGAATGCGTGCAAGTTATATGTCCCATTACTTAGGGTTCCTTGCCCAATTTATATACAAGTTTGAGCCAAGAGCTCTCCAAGTAACTCTGACTGACTCCGGAATTAAACCGTCAGCTATTTCTTTAAACAACGCCTCCAATCGATTCCCATCCAGATCAGTTTCACACTCTCCGCTTCAAACGGATTCTCTAAACATCTAAGCCGATATTGTAGACACCAGAGCCCCAAAAAGGGAGCACCAAGTCCGCTAACGTAAACATCAATTTCCGGCGGAAGTTTAATTCTGCAGAATTACAATTTTGAATTTAATTGACGAATTCCATCATCCTATTTTCCGACACTTTTGGATGATTTTCTTAATCAGATTTTTGTGGTAAATCTCTTAAGCCGAGGCAGTCCGATTTTGCAACCGAGAAACGAAAGAACACAATGGCAAGTAGTCACCAGTGAATAAGTTCGACATATGAAAAATTTGTAATAGTGAAATAAAAATTAAAATAAATTTTTTTAATTAATTCACAATTGAGATATTAAATTAGCATGTAGGCACAACTTATATTATTTAAATTAAAGTTTGTGTCGAAGATCGTATTTTTTTTATAGGGTTAATTTCGTGGATTGCATTTCATAGACTATTTTCACAGAGATACATCAGCCTTTCACCACCCGTTGAACGGAAGGTTCATAGGATTTTGCAGTTCCAAAAATATCCTAGTTATAGCGTAGTTTCAAGAGATCCATTCACCTTCCACCATCCGTTGAAGGGATGGTCCATAAGGTTTTGCCGTTTTAAAAACTTCCCAGTTAGTCCGCCCTTAAAATTTGACAGACTTTGGCGGACTAATTTATGCCGATATTTCTGAGGTGCAGCCCTCTGTCCACGCAGTCCATCCGTGAACGTCCACACAAATCACATCCACCTTCCGATTTCAGCTGATCTGAACAGTTGTAGCTCATTAAAACATTATCAAAGATGGTTGACCTGCTGACTTTGTTTATATTTTGACAAGCCACCAGCTGTTCAGATCACCTGAGATTTGAAACTTGAAGGTGGATGTGCTCTGTGGAAATCGGAAATTCACATTTGTCAAAAATTCCAACCGATTCCAACGGATGGACTGTGTTGTTCGTTTCTTGTGCAATGGTTCTGAATATAGCTTGAGCACCTTATCTTTGAACATTTTACCCCACCCACTGTTAAGCAATTTTCTTAATGTACCGTGTATATTGGCATAACCTCTACAATTTGTGTCTCTTGTAATTTAATTATGGATCCCCAAATATGTATGGAAAATTAGAAGTTGAAGCTTTCTGACAAGAATCGTGCATATAGGCGCAGAGACCCGATATTTCAATGCATGTTTTAATTACTTGCAGACATCCTATATTCTCAAATCATAAAAATATCGTTAGATATTTAATTTCCTAATAATTTTTCATTCACAATTTTAAATTAACGTGCCCAAATATTCCGCGTGTTCCAATTTTTATTGCTCCCCAATCGCCGCTAGCTTGACGCACATCAATAAATTATAAAATTAAATTAAATTTGATATTATGATGTATCGGATATATGTACATACACACACCCCTTATTAAAATAAAGAATGATATTTCTTAAAATAAAATTCCGATTTGTTAAAGCAAAATATAAGTACGTTGGTGTTAGTTTATTTACATTTTGAATACTGAACCACTTGTAAACAATGAGCAATGTTTGTTATTTGAATATTGATCAGCCTCCCCTTAGGTTTGAAAAATGTAAGTGAAACTAATTTGTATGTTGTAATCATAACCAAAATTTAATTTATTCTAAGCACCCGAAAGTGATGAGGAACACAGAAAACGAATGGAGATTGAAAAATTAATTGAACAAAGCATTGACAAAAATTTGGCTTTGGATGCGCTTGTGAAGTTGTCTTTGTCGCCCTACGGATTGGTCAATGACCATTTGCGGAGAATTTTGTGGCCGCAGTTGGCAGGTGTCGACGTGACCCGTCTTGAACGGGCGCCATCCCTTAAAGAGTTGCAAAACCATCCTGAATACAATCAGGTAGTGCTAGATGTAAATCGCTCTTTAAAGCGATTTCCACCTGGTATTCCATATGAACAACGCATTGCACTGCAAGATCAACTTACTGTTCTTATTTTAAGGGTAATTCAAAAGTATCCTAATTTAAGGTACTATCAAGGCTATCACGATGTGGCTGTAACATTTTTGTTGGTAGCTGGCGAAGAAATCGCTTATGCCATAATGGAGCAGCTCTCCACAAAGCATTTTTCCGAATGTATGCAGGAGACAATGGAAGCCACACAAAGGCGTCTTATGTTTATTTGGCCTGTCATAAAGTTTGAAAACCTAGAACTGTATAACTTTTTGCAAAGCTCAACGGTTGGAACTTTGTTCGCGTTGCCATGGTATTTGACTTGGTTTGGACACAGTTTAAATTCCTACAAAACTGTAGTCCGTTTATATGACTATTTCCTAGCATCGCCTATTTATACACCTATATTTGTAACAGCTGCGATTCTACTTTATCGATCAAATGAAATACTGAAGGAGGAATGTGATATGGCATCAGTTCATTGTTTTTTATCAACTGTATGTTTTTGCCTAAAATTCGTAGTACATATATTATCAGCAAATCTTTGTATTTTTAGCTACCAGAAGATTTACCGTTTGAAAAGCTTTTAAAAACGTCTAGCAAGCTTGTTAATAAGTATAGCCTAACAGTAATAGAGAAAGATGTTGAAGAGCTTATTTTCCAAGAGTAAGTAAAATAAAATGAATTATTTTTTATTTATTTATCCTTTTCAATAGAAAAGCAAAGCGGCAAGCCGAAGAAAATATGATTATGAAGCGACGGCGAAAGATGTCAGCTAATGCAAACCGAATTTTCAGCATAAGTCCATGGCTTTTAAATATGTTAACTTCAAAGTCGGTGCTATTTACGACTGCGGTTTCTGTTGTAGTAGGTGTATGTGCATATTATTATAAGAATCAGTATTTGGCGGCAGGTATTAGCTGAGTATTATCGGACTGTCTTCATCTGAAAATGTCTTATATATCGCGATTTGAACCAATTCTCTCCAAAATGAGTTGGGTGGTAGAGATTTGCATCTATTAAATTATAATTTAAACAACACGACACCTATAATAAACAAAGATTTATATTAACAATTTGTCTGTATAAAACTTAATTGTGGGAAAATTTACATAAAGAAAATGTAAAGACTTCATATATTGAAGAGGAATAAATTAATGGGCGCAAAGCGTGTTGGTCGCTCACCTTATACAAATCTGAGTGGATGGCTTTGGATCAGTGGTCGACAATAGCCTATCTCCGAATAGCACCACCCAAAACTTAAACAGCTTATAAAAACTGGACTACTAAACTAATCAAAATATTTTAAATGCAGGATAATGGTGATATATATGTTTTTAAGTAAGAAAGAAAAAATTACAAATAAAGATCACAGCTTACTGAAACCAAAAAACAATTTCAACTCTATGAGTTTATTCCCAAAATCAAGGTAAATTTACAGTATTACCACACTTCTATTAAATAACAATAATGATTACTTTTTGAATTGGTTCTACCAATTATTTTGTTTCTGGCTATGTGACACTCCTTTATTATAGGCTTTTTTTGGGATATTTTCAGACTTCTCTAGATTTACCAAGACTGAATTATAACGGGCGTGTTTACTGTATCATTACTTTGCTTTAATTGAAAATATACATTTATTGCAAGATTCTCAAAATTTTAAACCCAATTCTCCCTTAGGATAAGAAGGTAAACTAGTTTATTGATTGTAGGCTCTATAAACACTTATTTTGCACTGGGTTTTAACTTAAAAAAATATGTATCCAAAATTCTTAAAAACTCTTCAAAGAAAAACAAAACATAACATAAAATAATTTTTCTGCGATTAAATTCTTTTGATAGATTATATTATTTAAACATTTAATAACAAACATAAAGGTCGCCGGCAAAAAAAAACATTTTGCTCAATTTTAATACGCTGTTTATTTTTTAAATAAGCTGTGTAGGAATCTAGTTCCTGTACTGAGACTTTGACTCACATTTTCAACAGCTGCCAACACAACAGTTACCAGTGCCATAAAGTTTGGAAATAAAATGCACTGAAATATAAGCTAAGAAAATTGCAAGTGAAAATGCTAAAAGTATTTAAAGATCGAGGATAAATTAATTAATTTTCAACTATTAACAACTAGTCCCGAAAGGTCTTGGGCTGAGGTAAAAGGGTCCAGCATGAACACGTCGGACTTGGCTGCGGTTCTAGGTAAGCTTCTACCCTCTTCAAATTAACAAGAATAAAAAAAAAGTCTGACCACAGACGCACTGCTCCACAAGCTCAGACGTCGCTTGGTCGGGCTGTATTTTGGCCACATACCTTATGCGTCACACTCAGTGTTGGGGTGTATCTAGGTACTTGTACCTAGGTAATTTTTTTCGGTATCTTTTACCTTACCTAGGTAAAAAAATATTTGGCTACCTTTTACCTTACCTAGGTACGAATTTTCGTTTACCTTAAGTTTTAGCTATGTAAGGTATTTAGGTACTTCCATAGGTGTATGTAAATATTGTGCATATTAGAAATAGCCCTGCTTCACAGCAATGCAATCGAAAACTTAGAAATATGATAGTTCCACCACTTACTCACAGAGGTCTTTATGGTAAGAATGCAAAAATATTTTCCGTTGGAATTTGGTATAATGCTAAATTAGCAATGCCGTTGCTACCTAAACAGTGCACTTTTGTCGATGACATTGGTTCCTAGAAAACGTCACAACAAATCTTAAAATGAGCAAAGAAGACGCAGAAAAAAAGGAGCTACCATTAATTTTAAATGGTACTTTCTTTTTACCGGACGGGAAGTGCAAACTGTGTGTGAACAAAACTATCAAATTTGATGAAAAGTCAACCGGCAACTTGCATAAACATCTGAAGGTAAGTGAACTGTGAAGTGAATTGATAAATTAATTTTCGCGCGAAAAAATGCATGTGCGTAGACATGCACATGTGCTTTTAAACATATGTATATACATATGTGCTTATTCATACATTTATGTGGTGCAGTCATCAATGTGAATATGACCATATGTATGTATTTATGTATAGATTGTGCCTATTTCATTAAAACATTTAAACAATCATAGCATGAAGCAGCACGATTCCCGCAATTTTTTTTAATGCACCTTCGAATTATTTGAGTATGTGAACAATCACATATGTATTTATGTATGCATCATATATGTATGAATATGTGCTTATTGGAGTATATGTTTAAATGTAAATGTGCATATCTATGCACATGCATTTTTTCGCGCGAAAATTATTTTCCATAAGTTTAAATAATCTAAAAGTGCATTTTAATAAGAAATTGACGGATACATAAATACATACATATGGTCATAATTTTATGGACATTGATGGGGTGGTCATTCTTTATTTTTATTTTTTATTTTCCACCAAAAAATGTAAAACTATTTTTTTTTATTAAACCACATTTTTATAAATATATGTAAGACTAAGCACATAATAATGTTTAAATTAAACAAGTATAATGAAGACATTAAAACATTATGAAACTTTTTTTTCAGAGGGTTCACCCGAACAGTTATTCTTCGTATGAAGCTTTGAAAGCGAAAAATTCAAAAATAGAAGTGAAAATTTCCGGTGATCTCAAAAAAAGAAACCAATGTGACTTATGTTTATATCTTTGTATCTCAGAAAAAGAAACTGATAATAAAAATTTCAAATTTAAAAAAATTTTAAGTTGTATTTTTTACCTTTTACCTTTACCTAGGTACAAAAGAAATTGCATACCTTTTACCTTACCTAGGTACAAATATTTGCAACTACCTTTTACCTTACCTAGGTAAAAAAAATGGTACCTGGCTCAACACTGGTCACACTTGCTCATGTGTCAATGGACCGTCACAAGCCGCACAATACGATCCTCTCCTCGTTTGTCAAGGTTGAAATGATGTAATTTTCTTGACTGTTGCGGTATCACCCCCTTGGACTGGTTTCTACCAAGTCATGTTTAGACTCGGATTTATTATGTGTATATATATATTGGGGTAGAATATTGCGGGTGTGTTTCTAATACGGATTGCCAAAATAAAATGATTAATTATGTGTAACAATCAGGGCAGTGAACCACTCTGGAGTTGGATTACTCCAAACAAAATGGTTCAGATTTTTTTTGAGACGAAAAATTAACCGTAGCGCCGATTTATTCTGTAAATAATCCGGAACTGAACCGGAACCATTTGTTTTTTTTATCAGTTTCGGTCCAAATAAAAATATATCCTTTTTGTAATTTTGTATTACCAGTTGTAAAACATTCTATGTATTTTAGCGGCACGCTACAATGAAAACAGCCTGTGTAGTCAAAAAGCTTAGATTCTTTGTTAAAGCCGGACAAAAATTAAAATGTGTAGCTATTTCGCCGAATGCTTTACCATTTTCGTTGCAAAATTTTATATCAGAAAATTTACATGTTGAAATTGCGATCTTCACGATATTTTACGTCGTTAAAAGGGTTTTTGTTGGGCTATAATGTAGTCTACTTCTACTTCTACTTAAATAAATACAATGTACAAAATACAGCGCAATACATTAAACGATATATATTTTCCCAATTCCAATCAAATAAATTTACCATTTTTATCCAGTTGTCTAATACAGTATACTGTAATTGGTGTATTTATAGTAATTTAAAAAATACACATACACAAAACAATGAAAATAAAATTGATAAAAAAAACAGTTTTTGTTTAACCTTTGCTCGAATTGATTATAAAGATTGTAACACGGAAAGCCGTTTTTATTTTTGGAGAGCGAAAGTTTTCGGGAGATTTTAGACCAAATTTTCAGCGCGCTATCCATGAGACCTATAACTTCCCGAAAAATTATGATTCAAGTGCCTGTCAAACAGTAGGCCTTTAAGGAAATTATTATTTTTCGGCTTTCCCCTACTCAAACATCTTCTGATGTTGCTGTCTTATAAACAACTCAAATCTAAAACCCATCGGAGTAAAACTTCCCAGTCGAGGCCAATGACCAGTGTGCCATTTTCCTCTTCACACTGACCTCTAGCCTCCTTTTTTCCTATCAGAAGACAAGAGGCTTGCGTAGCAATCTTATTTAATTGTACTTTTTTGTATTTGTATTTTATTATAAAATGTCTTCCGAACGCTACAAGTTTGGAACTTATAAGGTAATGCACTAGTCACAGAGTTGCAAACATTTAAATTTTACATGATACTTAAAACTATTTTTATAAAATAACTAACCTAACTCGCCTTTTATTTTACTCTTATTTACGTAATAGTATTTGCTTCCCATAACCTAGTTAAAGCCGGAGATTCTAAGCTTCGAAAATTTTCAAGGTAAATACAGAATTTATAGGCTTGACTGTTCTTCTAGACGGTGGAGTACTAGTTGCAGTGGACTCCAACCTCGAGTATAGAAATTCCAACGCTAAAGGGAAAACTTTGGATTCCCAGACGTTTGTGCAGTGGTCTGGGGTGAGTCTTTAAAGAAAAAAAAGGGGAAAATCCCAGCAGTTCCTCAGTGGTTTTAATTAGGCGAGCGAATGGGCAAGAATCCCAAGACCCAAGAAGCGGAGGCAAGGCAAAGAAAACATACAGTCGGCGCTGGCGCAACCAGTACATCGAGCTCACATCAAACCCAGCGCAACCGTCGAACCCAGCGCAACCGATTTAAATTGGCAATAAGTAACGTTTTGTTGTGTAAAAAGTGTGTTTAGCGGGCATACGGCCATAACCTAATCCCTTGCGGCCGAGCTGAGCGCCGCTCGTATGTAAACCCGATCGCACACCCACACCGAAATGCACAAAGCAAATTAAGTTAAAACTACCAATGATTTAAGTTCGACACTAAGGAGAGATGTTCGATCGAGCGCAGCTTTAGTTTCGTGCGCGAACTGCTCTGGGCAGAGGCAGATAAACCCGGAATCGGCAAGTTTTGGCCAAATAAAGCTATAATAATACCCGGAAAGATTGGCCGCGAAACCGTCACAAGAGGGTAAAGTAATGATTTTTTTTTAGGTTAATTTACAATTGTGAAAAAAGTGCAGTGTGGTGTGACGAGGTGTAGCAGCAAAATTGTTGTTTTTTTGCTGTTTTTATCTTTTACTTAACCCCACTCTAGCTCATCGCATCCCGAGGAGAGCGCTTTCGTCGATGGATTGCATTAATTATCGGTGAGTGAGAAAGATCCAATTTGAATTCTATGTCATACAAAAAAATATATAATCGGGTTCAACAAGAAAAGTAAAAATGAAAATTATAATATTTTAACCTCAAACGACGATAGAAGATGAGCAAAAGTAATGAGTAAAATCCACAGCGCTCTGGTGCAAAAAAAAAAACTTAATTTTGTTCCGACTCAATCGCATGAAATAATTGTTCTGCAATCGTACTTTTTATTCTTTTTAAATTAATTCCTTTAAATACGGATAAGATTCGCCTTCCCATTGGCCTAAAATTTTGATTTTGTTAAGAAAAAGGAAAACAAATTATGTGTAGTTATTTACACACTTCATGCATTTAATATTTGTAAACTCTAATATATATAACCCTAGCTCGAATTTACTTATTTATATGTCGTATTTATACATGTATATAATTAAATCTTTTATTATGTCTAGTATTAAGAATGATTTTAGCTTTTAATAATCCTTTATAATGTTCTAAGAAAATATGAGTCTGGCCCCAGCTAGCGATATGCTGATGTAGCGTAGCGCTTGATAAAAGGGGTCGCTCAGGCTATTGAGCAGGTGGATTGAGCGACCAATGGAAGGGTGGGCTCGGCTGGACCTTCATAACATCTAAGGAGGCGAAAAGTAATTCAGCAGCATTAGGGTATTTTTATCTTTCAGCGGCAATAGTAACATGTGTGTCTCTATCTTTCCCGGTTCATTGTCGTTGCACGCGATTATTAGAGTATCAATATTGATAGGCAAACGTGTATAAGTTAAGAACTAAGCACATAAGATAAACTCTTTTCTGTCATACATTGTTATTCATACACAATCATAAATAATTTGGTTGCCCTCAGCAACAAATACTACAACACTTAACACAAAGCCTTAAGCATTCTGTTTGTCCTCAGCAACAAAGTAATATTATTGTAAGCAATGCTGACTCGCTACCAAGAGTTCTGCCCGCAGCCACTGTAAATGGACACCGTGTTGCTTGCGCAAGAATGCTGAGTCGGCACGCCGACTCGAGCGAATGGCGTGATGCATTGACTTCACAGGGCTAACTTAAGTTTGAATATTTCTGTAGCCTTCAGTCTCAATCTAGATCGCAACTCCATAAGTCGATAAATGATTAAAGCTCCGGCATCGCCGTGAAACGAAAATACAAAATTGTGTTATCATTCATAGTTGACCACGTCCAAGACGGGCAACTGGGAAGGTTTCCCGCAACGTAATCATCAGTGTTCCAGTAACCAAGTATTGGACACATCAACACCTCATCGAAGGAAGGAAGTCATCACGTCCACGGATCGGAAGACTTAATTTATACAAGCAAGACCACCACAGCCTTAACCGACGAGCCGCCAGCCGGACAACTATTCCGCGTGCGCTTGTATTTCACTTTTAACATCTCGCCTGGCATGATTTGCAGTGCAGCAAATCCGTTACAATCCCGTTACAATGAACGATTATGTAATGCATAAGCGAAACCTACCCAAGTAGTATTCAGCTTAATCACCATTGCTCAATAAACTACCATAAGCCAAAGCAAACAGATGAATATTAAATACAATGTTAGTACAAGAACAACAATAGAACAATTAACATAAACAAAAATTTTAATATATATAAAAAGAAAAACAATAATATATGGAAATAACAGGTCAAATAAAAAAATTAATGCTATGACCGGTAACACATCTAAAGACGTTGCAACTGATTGTACCATCGAAGTAATCGATTATGTTCAACAAATTGCAGATGTGATTTACATCCTGGTGTTGATGATTACTATTATACAATTCTATAACGTTTAGTGATACAAAGTGATCAAAGTGTTCAAAGACAGTAAAATAAACAAAAAGACAATTTAATTTACGTAAATACAAACAAAAGAAACCAACAAAGCTCTTTAAAGAAGAAACCTCCTCGCTCTCGTGAACGGTTTCTTTATAAGTTAATAAAAATTACATAACCTAGTGTCGGTATACTTAAGGCTTATGAGTGAATCATCGGTTAGGAGAAAAGTCCACAAATATATGCATACTCTAAACTTCTCACAAATTACAGACTATTTAAAAATTGATCTCTCTTCGTTGCACACAAATAAAAAAGGTGAGTGTTCCAGAACCCAAGTTACGAATTTCTATTTGAATGTATATATCTATATATATATATTTATATATATATATATATATATATATATATAAATATATATATATATATATATATTTATATATATTTATATATATATATATATATTTGTGCCAAAAATACACACAAACATGATTACAACAGAAATAGTAGCAACATTTTAGGAATCCGATTCTAATAACAAATCTGAATATGTTTGATCAAGAAATCAACTGCCTATATCTGTTAATGATTTCGAGATTAAATATATGGAAAAATTCCTGTACAGTCATTGAAAAAACTTTTTATTTTTTCTAATTAAAATAACGAAAAGGAACTTTGAAAAGAACGCCCAAATAATGACAAGTCTTCATATGCTGCGTTATAACTTGAAACTGTTTTT